TTCTAATTTTTACATACTATACTTGTATAATCTTTTCAGACGGTGATGAGCTAATTGTGCAGAAAAACAATGTATTTTATATTTGTGGGAATCAAAACTATGTGTCATTTATAAATATATATATATATATATATATATATATATATATTTTGAATACAGAATATAACAGAAATCAAAGGAGTCTCTGATTAAGATAACTTTTCTGAATTAAAAATGTTGATAGAATTAATACATTGAATAGTTTTTATTAATTTCGTAAATTAGTTGCTATGCTTTATTAACTTAATGCGTAACAAAAAGAAAACTAGTTCTGTACACAAACGTTTAAGCTTTCTATAAAAGATCTAACAACATTCGTGTGTTTTTTTCAGGCAGAATTAATTATGATGTGGTTGTGCACAACAAACTTATAAGGATATGCGTGGACTCCGCATGCTTATGTGCATTGCGGTATAAATCTCCAACAATTTTACTTTTAAAAAGCCAAAGGTGGCGATTAAAAAATTGCTTAGCTGCCTAAGACAACATTTCGCGCTCTATTAAATAATACGCAGTTTTATGCGAAAGGAAAAATAAAACTATAACTATAATATTCAATATCAATACTATAAGCCCTACCAAAAGATATTGTTAATATTAATATTATATTATATTAAATTAAATTAAAGTTAGTGTTAAAGTTACTTTTCACTTCTTTTAATCCAAAATCTTATAAAGGAAAACCTCGAGCTAAACAAAATCGAAGCTTTGCAACTTTCCATCTATTTTTTTTCTACCAGTTTCCAATGCGCTATAAACAGTTAGGAGAAGCCTAAAGTACAATTTTTGCAGAGTATTAAGAGACAATGGCAGCGGGCACCCAGCATCACACGCACGCACATAATTAAATGAAGCATGAAGTCGGGCACTCGCCAACAAACACTCACCCATACATAAACACAAACTTTGTGTACATACATATGTTACGCATACGCCACGTATGACGCTTAAAATGCTGGTTGCTGTCATAAATCACATTGTGCAAAGTGCCAGCAACAACTCACCTGACATGTTGTGTGTTAGAGGCACCACTCTAATGATGTCTATATGTCTGGTGGGGCAGAGAGATTGGGAGGGGTTAGGGAAGCCGTGCTTCAGGCAACCCCTCGGGCTGTTTGAACTGCACAACATACTAATTTCCCTTTTAGCCAGTGAAATATCAACATAAAACTGCATGCACCACACACTTTATACTTATGTGTGTGTGTCTGTGTGAGTAGATGATGCCGCTCAGGTCTGTTTGCAACGCCATCAGCACCATCATTAGCATCAAAGTAAATTTACGCTTATAAATTAGCCAACAGTCAGTTCATAACTCAACTCATGCGTGGGCGTATAGTCGTGTTCAACTCCAGATACATACGATTTATACATGGATACATACATATAGGTATACGCACATATAGGTATACGCACATATAGGTATACGCACTTGGAAAAATACAATATTGATTTTAGAAAATCACTTTAAAACCTTTTTCTATTGTTCTGAAATATTATTGTTAATCTTGAAAATTTCAACTACTCAGAAAATGCCTTTCGTAAATTCTGAAAATCGACTAAAATCAAATAACTTTTTTTAAATATCGTTGTATTAAAAATTTCTTAGACTTTTTTTTGTTTGTTATAAATAGAATAGATATAGATAGATATACCAAGGCATCTTATAATTTTAATTATTAAGAAATATTATTGTTAATCTTGAAAATTTCAACTACTCAGAAAATGCCTTTCGTAAATTCTGAAAATCGACTAAAATCAAATAACTTTTTTTGTATTAAAAATTTCTTAGAAATTTTTTTGTTTGTTATAAATAGAACGATCTGAAAGTTGTTGATTTGGGTTACTGGTCCACAGCTAGATATACAAAGGTATTTTATAATTTTAAGGGCATGTGTTTTAATGAAGTTATTCATCCATTACATCTATATGTAATATCTCAATATACAGTACTCTCTTTGTTGATAATGATTTTTTGTAAAGCTTTTTAATATCCCGTGAAACATCCAAGGTCTATAAGAATGGCTGACCGATCAAAAAAGACATAAAATAAAATAAGCTTTTCTTATCAATTTGGGTCATTCAATCATTTATTTTTTTTATTTTATTTTGAAATTAAAGAAAAACAAAGCCTATAGAATTAACAAGAATGTCTAATAACGAATCTGACTTTAGACCTAACAAAAAAGAAAAGGAGAAGAAAAAATAGCAATACAAGATAAAGAAGAAGTATAATTAAATTAAAGTAAAAAATAATAAAAGATAAAATATAATTTAAATGTAAAGGTGGAGAATCACTAACGCGTTCGGTTGTTGGTTGACAACACAATAGAAGAACAAATTACAAGTATTTTTAAAAATGTGAAAATAAAAATGACTGTCGAGTCAATTTTTATTATTATTTACGAAAACGTAATCCTTTTTCACCAAAAACTATTTTAAAACAGTTCTATGCAAAAATATACTTATTTTCTTAAGGTATAATAAATATGGGTTCGTTAAATAAATATTATAAAAATGAAAACTTTTATTAAATCAATAAAAATAATTTGCAATACATAAGTTATTGCATAACTTTAAGAGTTCATAGGTACACTTGATTTTAGAAAGCACCCTCTTCGAGTATTTTATTTAATCAACATTTGTAACTTGGAATTAATCCTAAATCCTGATACATACTTGTATAAAAGTATGTATAGCTAGAGCAACGAAGGCCTTCAGGCTGAGCATTATTCTCTCTCAGTGTACGCGTTACAGGAATAATATATTGTAATTTCTATATAACACACCAAGCCGCGACAAACAGCATGCACCCCCATTGACCACCCCCACGGGGCACGTTGCGCTCATCCAATATATGCAAAATACTTGCCGTAATTCCTTCTGCACTCGCTGCACAACTTATGCAAATTTTTAGCCCGTCTTTGTCAAGCAAAGCAGTTGCTTTCACGTTGCACTCTATCTTCTCGTAAACAAGTATATGTGAGTGTATAGTATGTGTGGGTGTATGTGGAAAATTGCATGTTTCACTGCAATGAAAACAAATCGCAAAATTACCATAATCAAAGCATAAAAGGATTTCTTTCCTGCAGCTTCTTTTTCCCACAGCTTCGCCTTCTTTTTTTTTTAACAGTGCAATCATTTGTTTTTGACCGTAGACAAAGGAATTGCTAAAGTTTCCCCAAGATTTTCTTTGTTCCTTTATTTTAAAGTAATTGGCCTCGTTTGGTAGTCAAAAGCAGCTAAATTGAATTTGAATTATATGCCAGGTAATTGCTGTAGAATTTCAATTGTTTTGCAACAGGTTTAGAAAACTTTGCGGTTAGTTAGTACTTGTGGTGTAATGGAAATGCAAATTAATGTCTAGTATAGGTTCAATTTATTCGCGTCCTGTAATTTTGAATGACCGCCATGTCCTTGCAAATATGTGGTCTGTGCTAAGTAAGTTGGCTTGGCATTAAATATGAAGATAAAATCAATATCGGTCCGTGATTTTGCATGACAACTACTACTTGTATAAGGCATAGTCATTTGACTTCAACAGAAATTAAATAAATTAGAAAATTATAAACAAATTGGTTAAGGAAACACAATTGAGGTATTCAACGCCTGAAAGAATCACTTAATGTTAGAGTATACAAATATTTTTGTGGCAGTGAAGTTGAAAATAGAAACATTACATTTTAAATTCGTAACTTTTTAAGCTTAACATATATGTTGCCAGGCTGACTTTTAAACCTTTTTCTTTATTCAAATTGTTAATAATAATTCTTGAAACTGGTAATCACATTCAAGGCTTAGCCCATTTAATTCAAAAGAAGTTCGTCTTAAAGCTGTTAAGGAATAAACGATGTGAATACTGCTTGATCCTGGATACTATAAAAGTGTTAATGCAGATCTTGATATAAGTTAGCATATTTTCAACCCGGGTTTCTAGTTCCAAATCCAAAGGTTTGTATAAGGATGCCTCCATGCAGGGAAATATTTTAAATTACATTTTTATGTCTGTATTTGTCTGAATGAAATACTTATAGATTGATAGATAACCAAATTTTTTGAACACAAAATCTCTAAATTTACAAAAAAAATTAATAATTAGTTAAATTTACAGCTAACATATAGCTTTCTGATAAAATTATTCTCTTCAGTATTTGGTTTCTAAATCCTGCTTTAAAAAATAACAAAAACTTGTGTGGAATTTTTTGCAAGTCTGACCGTTAGCCCGGCAGCTGAAATAAATATTTTCTTGAATACGAACTTGGGAACTTGTTGGGAATATGAAAATAATTAGGGAAGCTATATTTCAAGAAATATAGCAAAAAAAAAAACCTAGTGAAACATCATTTTGTATTTGCTCTGATTTTTTTTTTTATCCACCGCATTACAAGTTAACGGTTAAAGCACACGAAAGCTTTGCTAAGCACTTGTGATACCGCTAGATGGCGCTAAAGAACTAATTTGGTTTGATGTCTCCGCTAAATGAAGAACCTTTATACCCGTTTCAAAAACCGCTTCTTGCATACAAACCTGTTTCCTTTTTCCAATTCAAACTCGCAATATATTTTTCAAAAAACTCATTTGTTAAATGAATTTATGCAGTTCCTTTGTGGTGTGTCCGCTAAACGAAAAACTTGATATCCGTTTCATGCGATGTCTACAAATATTTCGAATACATCTTCTTGCATACAATCCTGTTCCCTTTTAGAAATTCGATTTAAATCAACGTCGCAATATATTTTTCAAAAAACTCAATTGTTAAATGTTATCCAGTTCCTTTGTCCTAAGAAAATATTTTTTATATTAGGGAATGCAAATCGCAAACTTCATACAAATCGAGCAACAAACTAAGCCAAGACGATTTCGACAAATTTGAAGAAATTCCAATTACAACTCGAATTTCCCGAACAGATCCTGCAGATTTAGTTGTTAACCTCATTTCTCGTTAAAAAAAAGGCATTAGGTTTGTTTTTAAATAGCTTTTTTTTTTATAAAATTACTATTTATTCTAAATTTGATGCTATAAAAATATTACAATTTAAAAAGATACCTCGAAAATTGTGCAAGGCTGGAAGACAGTATTTTTAGATTTGAGCGCACAATATAAAGACTACTAGTTTAATGACTATGGACGCAACACATTCGTTTCTACGATTATCAGCTAAGAACACACACGAAATACATACATTATTAAACAATAATTGCTTCTCAGTAAATTACAAAGATAAAATTCGAATTGTTTGTGTTGTTGGTGTTTTTTTTCTGTTGCTCGCAGAGATACGGGAGATAAGTACATAATGTGGACGACGGACGATTTCTACCTATAGATAATGAATGGGTTTTTAGCAGAGGGATGATGTTGTTGTTGCAGAGGTGAGCGCTTTTTCTACCACGCCCATTTGGGCGACACCTTGTCAAAGTTCCACTCGTCCGGATGACCTTCGTGATTGCCGCCATCGACGCCTTGCAGACTGGACCATTTGAAGGGTCCAGTTCCCAGACGCCGCATCGCAACAGCTCGCATATCATTGCGCACTGGCCGCCGTTCCGTAATCAGTTCCAGTTCGGCCAGGCCGGCAGCATCATCGATGGTTACGCTCAAGCGTTCGTCACCGATGGCTGCGGGTGCAGCCTCATCAGCCTCATCCGCCGCATCTGCCGCATCCTCCAAGTGCTCGCCGCTGAGCGAACGCGCTTGCATGTGTTGGAGGCGCAGGAAAATTGGTCCCGCCAAGGCATGATAGTCGCTCATGCCCAGACGGGCATTGTAGGAGAAGAGCTTCAGATCAATGTTCCCATACGCAATGGACTCCTCGCCCAACAGATCACCACGGAATCCGCGTGTTCGCAGAAACTTATCGACTGCCTCCAGATTGGTCAGCTCTGCCTCCTCGGCGCGCGTCAAATCGGCATTATAGTTCTCACGCGTGACACCGCTCGCCTCGAGTATCTCGTCAAAATAGGGCACTCCATTGGCCACCCATGTCGTATTGCCGCCGGCGAGAAAAGTTTCGGTCACATCCTTGATGTGCATGCGACCCGGCAGCTGTTCGGCTATCCAAACCATGCCCTTACGCTGATCCTGGCGCTCCGAAATCGAGGCCGTGTCCTGTGCATTAACCGGCACTGGTGCGTCGTCATGTTTTTCGTCCGTTTCCAGAGCACTGTAGAGACTACCCTGAGCACCCAATTTTCCCAAATCAACGCTGATCCATTGCTTGGCACCCGTGTAGGGGAATCGTGCCATGGCACGCGCCCAAGTGCGGCGATTTTGTGAAATGCGATTTGCGGCCATAACTCGTGCCACCAGTGGCACCACATCCTTGGGATTCACCGCCTGCCACAGCTGTAAATTCTCATTCTTGATGCCCACGCCGCCGACAATCGACTGCACCTGTCTACCCTTCACCACATAGAAGTCATCCGTGGATCCAAGTATGCCTGGGTAGCCGGTGAATGTGATGTCCACGCCGGGCACCGTGTTGGTTCGCTGATTGGGCGAGAAGTGATAATGGAATTTGTAGCGCTTCTGTATGCGTAGCATCGATGAATAGCTGCCGGCCGTGCTGTGGCCAAAGAGCAACTGCAGCGACTGCGGAGACTCTGCCGGCTGCAAAATACGCGTCAGCATCGTGGCGCTGGGCAGAAAGAAATTCTTGGCAACAGGCTCGCCGCCAGTCGCACTCGTCTGCCCCCTCTCTGGGGGTGTAGCTGTGATGTTTGGCAACACATAGTTCTCATAGTAGATCTTCAGATCCTGTATATCGGCCGCCGCGTTCATGAGCAAAAAATCCGACAAAGGTATCTCTTCCTCCAAGTCCGAGCGTGCGCGCACTGCTCCACGAATATAGCCCGTCTCTAGACCCTCCAGCTGATTAAAGAACAGGTGCAGCTGATGCCAGTAGTGATCGTGTTCGGCCCGCAGGACAGCCTGGGACTTCAGGCGCTGATAATTGCTGAGAAGCAATTCGCGCAGCCATTCACAGAACTGTTGCGAGTTCTCATCGCGTTCACACGATGACGAAATGGTGCTGTAAAAGGATATTCAAATCTTATAAGTATCTAAGGAACTGAAACAGACTGTTGAAGAACTCACTTGGCCCACTGATTGTAGATGTTCTTCCAGGTCAGTGAACCCTCGAGTATGCCTGCTGCATAGGCCTGCACCCAATCCGGATAACTACGTTGTGTTTCCACCTCGATTTGCGCCCATCTGGAATAAAATTGAGAGCACAAGGGTCAGCAAATTCCCCCCTATTTATGAAGAGGTTGATTTATATAAATACACACCCATTCTCATAGACAGAGTCCTTATAACATATTCTTGCGACGCCCTGCGGAATGTTTACTAAATCGTTTTGTTGCTTCCAATTTTCGATCTTAAAGCCAGCCTGTTTCGTCCAGTATGCTGTGGCACAGTATGTGCCATCGTATTCGGGCCGATCCATGTAGGCGATAAAGAACGCACCGATCACCAGTAAACCGGCTCCGATCAGTATATACGTCCCTATCCGCGTTTTCTGCCATGACGCACCGACTACTTTAAGCATTGTTCCGGCCGTCTTGAAGCCTTTTACGTGGACTGGATGTTAAAAAAGGAATGCTTTGGTGCTTCTACGATCACCGATTGTCCTCGCTTCCTCACAAGCGTAGACTCTGCTCGATACTTTCCAAATCTCTCACTCGACCACTTAGGGCGAATAATTGAGGTCCGCACGCACGGCGTAGGAATGGCCCAGGATGTTGATCAGATTTTGGACCTTTACGCCAGTGTAGGGGCTACGGGTGCTGCTGTTGCTGCTGCTGCTGCTGCTGCTGGAGACGGAGGCCGCGCTGTCAGGCGAAGCGACCGTGTGGTTCATGGGTGGTGCTCTGCTCTGGGGCAGTAATCCAAACAGTTTCCAGAGAAATTTCAAGAAATTTCTAAACTGCAGCGAAGTTATTGTTTATTGTTCCTATTGCGGTTGGGGGTTCTATTTCCAGTCGTATGTTTGGCTTACATGGATTCCAGCTGTATCCCTGCAAACAAATTAAAAGAAGAAGCACAAAAAAATTGTAGTACTGGGAAATTGGCGTTGGTTTCTAAGAAAGAAATTGACCACCAAACACTTAAAGGCACAACGTCATAGACGAGATTTCAATAAAAACCAAAAAATAAATGCCCATTACGCCCAAAAAAAAAAAAAAAGAAACCCCAAATATTTACTTAAAACACATTCCTCTCTCCGACACAATGCAATAATAAACAAGTTTATTTGAAACACATTTTCTTTTGTTGTGCCGTAGGACGTTTCCATTAAAATTAAAATCGTTCAAGCAATTTAAATTAACAATTGCCATTTATATTTTCGACCAAGTGAAGAATCTTATTAAATTCGTACAATGCCCATGAGACTGCGGAATTTCGTTCTCTAGTAATTGTTTCTACATTTTCGGTAGGCCTCGTGCTCCCATGCCCAAATATTTGCGAAAATAAATTAGAATTTTTGGCAAAAGTAAACAATTGAACGCATTTATAAAACTAATAAATTATTTTTATGAACCGCAAGCTGAGTGGAGCGTTTAAGTAGACATAAATGGCTTGGGAATATTTTTCCACAACATCTGCCCACCAGATAATCGTCTTCTAACCCATCCGACCATATAACCTGCTGTTTTAATGAGCTCTTGGTCTATCATTACAAACAATGTATAGTGCTCTATGGAATCGGTTTAATATTGACTTTCAACTTAGTTTTAAGAATCATCCAAATCATGAGTTCTTGGAAACTCTGCTGAAAACAAATTTGCTTTTGAATAAATCCGAGCCAAGACGATTATGAAAAGAGGCATATCGAACAGTAGTGTAGTATAAATTTGTCCGAATCGGACAAATATGAAGCTCACAGGTTAGAATTGTCTGTCCGTCAGATTTATAAACGTCAGATATCTATTATTCAATTTGTGAATGTTTAAAAAGCAAAACCAAATAAATCTTTATTTTACATATGTATTATTTCTTCAGATATTCTTCAATTTCATCCTATTGATGGTTTGTTTTATTTCTTAGGAGTGAATGGAATGTCAGATGTCTAAATGTCAGATCTTTTGTTATTGTTTATTTGATGCATATAGGTATTATTTTCGGTTTTCTTTAAAGTTACAAATATATTTCTTAGGGTGTACGTTTTGTATTTCTTAGGTTATATGTTTTGCATTTATTATTAATTTTGACTACCCTACTACCTTACTGATTATAAAACATTCGTAACAATAGTGCAAAGTCTATGACACCTTCGAATTTGTGCATAATATTTATTTAACGTATTATATATCTCTAAGGACAAGCTACTCATTACTATATACATATATATATATATACATATGTATATGCAAACACGTGTAATTAGAAATTCCAATTGTAATCAATTTACCTTACCCAACAGAGAATAAACAATAACAACTACTAGAGGTTCGCTCGGTTGCAAATACATAGATATTCCGCAAATGTTTCTGTTTTGCTGTTGAAAATTCTTCAATACAATATATGTGTATGAGAAAACTTTGCGAGGAAATCTAAATAGAATGCAAAACTAATGTGTATAGTCATTCTGCTACGTTATGTATTGTAAACAAGAGGAAAAGTTTACATTAGGCATCACCGAATATGACATACACTTGCAAAACAAATTTGTTATTGACATTTCCTACAACAACTATCGGTTCCGGATTCAAAATTCTATAAAGTTTGCACTGCCAAGCTGTTCCGGTTAAAATATATGGGAAAATTTAAATATACTTCTATTATTGTACATAAATAATTTGGCTTGGTTATGCATCGACTTTTACGCCATTTCGTTATCGGAACAATTGATAATTAACAATTATTGTACATAAATAATTTGGCTTGGTTATGCATCGACTTTTACGCCATTTCGTTATCGGAACAATTGATAATTAACAATATTTTAATTTAAAATTAAATTGTTGAAAAGATAAAACTTTAACTAATTAATATATACACGTATAAGGGTCTATCGAAGTAAAGAAGAAAAGTTCAAAGCTTCCATTTCTAGTGCTATAAAGAATATTTGGAAATGCTTTTGAAGCCAAATAAGCCAACCATTTAAAATGATTATTAGAAAATCATTCCGCCATTTTGTTATGGCAACCATTAAAAATTAAGCAATATTTTATTTTGACACAAAATTGATGGCTAAGTAAAAGTTAAACTTATTAATATAACGTTTTGTGATAAATAAATTATTATGGTTAGAGTCTATCGAAGTAAAGAAGAAAAGTTCAAAATCTAATCTCCATACTTCTGTAAAGAAAATCCAAAACAAGCTATTTTTTCGAATTCTAGTGCCATTCCGCCATTTTGTTATCGCAACCATTAAAAATTAAGCAATTTTTTTTTTACATAAAATTGATGATTAAATAAAAGTTAAAGTAATAAATATAAAGTTTTAGTATTAATTATTCTGGTAAGAGTCTTTCAAAGTAAAAAATGAAAATTTCAAAGCCAAAACTCTATAATTCTGAAAAAAATATCTAACAAACACCCTGATGGGGAGAATTAAATATGAGCTTTGTAGCCATATTTTTAAAATTTCGCGTGGAATAATTTATATTTGAAGCCAAACAAACAAATCATTTAAAGATAATGATAAATGTGTAGACTAAGATATAATAAAGAGTATATGTAAGTATATAGGAACTCTGCACTGCTGTGAATTATAAAACCCATCATAGACGCCAGCTGTGCACTATTTGAAGCTGATCATTTCAATATCAATCTCTCAACGTGCCGATGCAATTAAATGCTGAAATTACGGAATTACTGCTCCGATTACCTAGACACCTATGCGCACAGTCTGAATTAATGAATACTATATTTTGATTGGTTTATTTTTGCGCGCCTCGCCCAACTTTTCACATCGGAAATGTAGCAGCACATAAATATTTACACGAGCAAATCCCTAACGAATATGGAATGAGAAATGCCTCGCATTAATGCCAGCTTAATACACGAAATTCCCATATAGCTATATTTACATGACCATTTCGACAGTTGTTTACCTAAGTGTAAAAATTTTATTAGAGTCATTGCGAATATGGAACTGGAGCGTGTTGCACGCGCCAACTATAAACTATTGGAAAACATTGAGAATATTGCTGAAGTAAGTATTAGTGTGAGTTGCTTAATTGCTTACCTTTTGTTTCCCGGGTTCAGGATGTTTCAATATCACAAGTCAACCCATTTGAAGAACTGCAAAGAAATGATGAAATGCAAAAATATTGTTTAGTCTTATTGTTGCACAGATTAAAACCACAAATAAAACAACAAGAATTTATAAACTGGCGCCTACATGTCAAAAAAAAAAAAAAAAAAAAAAATCGGATAAAAATAATATTCAGTCGGTCATTGCTTTTTTGTTTATTATTTCAATTGTGGGAGTCTCGTGATTTGTCAGTCACTCCCTCCCTCAGCCATGACCCTCTTTAAACAACCAGCTCTGGCCGGGACTGGCTGGCTGCAACATCATCTCGTCTCGCCGCCTTTGTTTATTCTGAACATTTGCAAACAAACGGACCGCCGGCGCGCACGCGCTTTAGCTTGCATTTGTTTGGCTTTGTCATCAACTTAACGAGCTGTCCGATTATATGGTTCATTTGATATGAAATATGGCAAACTTAATTGATTGCAGAGCCGACTTGCTTTCGCTGCTAAATGACGATCACACTTGTGTTGAGTCCGTGTCTAAAGAGGTCTATACTACTTTTCTAAGCAGATGATTGCTTGAACAGCAGCAGAAATTATAGTTACTAGTTAACTGTTTAATATGAAGTGCTATTCCTAAGTGGTAAGCTACTAAAGATTATCAATAACTGCCCCATAAAAGTAAAATAAATATTGAGAAGTTTGCAAATAGAATGTATTATGTTTATATTTCGTTTCATATTAAAAACTTGCTTTAGAGCAAGAACAATTCAGATTTTTTCTAAATAATTGTTACTATTCGTTACTAAGACAAGATCGCGAAACCATTATCAATATATTATGAAATAAATGGCAAACAAGAAATATGAATTTCAACTCCGCCTAAAAGTATAACCGTACTATTCGAATCTTAATCAACGTCTAGCATTTATTTAATGCTATTCGAGAAAATAAAATACTGAACAAGTTACAATTGCTTTCTATTCTTTCTATTCCATCAACGGTCTTTAGTAAAGGCGCTTAATTCTCAAAAATCATTCATTAAATAATTTCAAATCCTTGCTGTCATGTTGAGTAACAAAAGTATAATGCTTTTATTTTGCGTTAGAAATACAGCCGAAATACCGAAATAATTTGAATAACTAACTAATCAAACAATAAACTCTATGCTAAATGAAAAACCCAACAAAAAGTTTGATCGAACGGTGTTAAATGGATAAAAACGCCTAAAATCAAATTGAGTGAAACTCTTCAATTATTATGTTGATTAACAATAGCCATAATAAACAATGAAGCAACAAAATTTATTGATTCACTGCAACAAAATAAAGACTTTTAGCATAAATATCATAAGTTCGATAATTACTTTATGGTAATTTAGAAACAAATATGTATCTAATGAAGACCACCATCTATGGGGCTTGAAGGAGGGAATTGAAATTAAAAAGTTTTATTTTAAAAGATGAAAACAATTGCTAACGCTGCAATGATGATCAACCGCTTAAAAGGTAAATTAAAAAGGTTGTTTAATATGAATATTATTCAAAAAAATAAATAAACTTCTGTTGCCTAGTCTACATGCCAAGATTGGTCTTGGACTTGCCTAGATCGATTTGGTGAAGAACATATATGCTTGATGAAGACGGGAATGCTTCTCTAAGAGTGTTAACTGTTTTGCACAAACCTAATATACGCTTTAAAGCTTTCAACAAAACAGCAATATACTGACAAGCAATCTCCTGTTGACTTCATTAAGAATCAGTTATTCATATTTAGTGGCTATATGAAGCAGTTAAGCAATTAACGTGATATTTGTAACTATAGCTTAGTGCAATTGGTTGTTAAAGACTTATTTGATTATGTCTTTGCTCTATTTACTGAAACAGTTTTTCGTTTCCTAGTAATATAAAAATATGCATACTCGTTTCTGATATCAAATCTTATGATCTTATTTTTATTTGAGATTTATATGCAAAGTTTTCAGACAATTTGTTCGAAACAGTTGCTACACACGCTCTTCGTAGTAACTAATATTATATGGCATAAGTAACTACTGTTGGTGCAACTGTTCGAAAAATATAGTTATTCACGTATATGCATAAAATAATATAAAGTATGAAGTAATCGCCGTATCGATACGTTTGTGGGTGGCTAGTACGCTCGAATTCAGGGTCTGGCCGCGAACAGTTGTCGAAGTGAAGGTAAACATTTCATTGCAATGAGGCAGCGCGAAAATCATTTCATTTTCATTTTGCCATGAAAATAAACAGTTGCCGGTAATGTGAAAAGTAGCTGCAACGGTCGGATGGGCCGTTTTCTTTGAAACGCAAACACATTTTTAACTCGACGAGTTTATTTGCAGTGCTAAAATATCTTTTTATACATACAAGTATCCCCAGCCGTTCATATACTCGTAATTCCTAATTGATGTGCGCCCTGTAATCGCCTCGAAAAGAGTCAGAAACGAAAAGACTTGAACCTGTCAATTCAACACGCTTGTCAGAGTTTTTGTTGTTTCTGCCAATGGTAGTGAGTTTTGTTTAAAGTTGCGATTGACGTCAAGAATTTAGCAGCTGAGCAAAGCCGGAGATAGACGTGATTAAAATAAAAACTCAAAATAGGACTATTTAGCCCACAAACTTTCACAGTTTGCTGACGTCTTTGGCGCTTGTGGCTGTCTGCCCACTAAACCGTATTTAACTTAATTAACTTTATCATCAAGACATTTGTTGTCATAATAAACATGCCTGTTTTCCCAGACACTTTTCTCATCTTATTTTTTTGCAAGTTTCTCAGAATCTGTCATCAAGTCGGGCACTAAAATTTATGGAGCTCAACGTGCGCTGCAATGCGACAGTCAGATCTGTACTACTGAACTAGATATTAATACTTATATGTATCAGTAATTTATGCCTGTTAATTAAAATTAATCTGACCTCGAGTTGATGTTAGGTTTCTATAGAAGTTGTACGTGCATGGAAATACAAGTAGTTCCCCTATCGCTACTGTTTCTCTCAGCTTTGTCAGCTAATCAATCAACTAAGGCTAGTGTAAATAATTTACTTAGTCGATAGCTGGCAGCTGGTCACATATTTCCAGCAAGATTAATGCGTTTTCAGTTCCCAACTCAAATTTATAAATGGACTCAAAACTATGATTAGATAGTCACAGTTTATACACACGAGTTCGAGTATGGGGTGAATATTTTGTGAAATATTTATGTCTATTTAATTATGTTGTCAGTTCGTCTGATACGCCTGTCTATCTTTTCACTTCACTCGATATGGATGTCTAATGGAAAGTTACTGAGAAAATCGTGATTCACAATGTGTTCGTTAAATTTAAATAGATTTATTCCAGCAGGTTTTTAAAAATATTCCTCAGTCGCAGGCAGTTTCTATGACAAATGCTGTAATTATTTTCCACAACCCGCTATTTCAACGCAATTAAAGATTTATGGCGTTTTGATTTGAACAAAAAATTAGGAGGGTGACTAATTTTTACCTATTCCAAAAAAAGTTTGTTATATTTGTATATTATGATAGGTTAGTTTTATTGGTACATTCCGATTAGTTTATATTCAAGTACAATAATAATATATTTAGTGATAGTGATGGAAATAAAGGGAAAGGGGATACGAAAGCCCAATTCTGTCAAAGCAAAACAGTCTGACAAAAAATCCTCAGACAAATACGATTAATAATATTTCCAACCTACTAGATATATAAAAAATATACACAAATAAGAAATGCAAAAAAAAGAAATAATAAAAATACATTTCAGAATTGGAATTTTTGTATATTTTGACATTTTCTTAAATGAAAAGAATATGAGAATAAAAACGATCTAACCAAAACCAACAACCAAATTGATGGAATTAATAATATTTCCATCCTAGCAGATCCTTGAGATCCTTTTCCTTAACTTTCTGATAAGCAAAGCGCTTCCCCTTTCAGTTTCAAAAGAGTTTTAAACGTTTCTAAATATAAGCAGAACTGCAAAACATTTCGATTTCGGTATTGTTTAAATGAACTTAAAAAGAATGTGACTAAAATCAAAAAGGACAATATGAACAAATTAATTCATTTCCGAAACGTAAAAATATGAATTACTTATACATATACATATGTAGGCGATATACATATGGCAGCGATTCTCCCACATTTAATCAGAACCGAAAGAAAAAATGAAACTAATTAGCACGTGTGGATGAATAATTTCTATTGACTTGATTTTAAGAAAAATTCCCTAAAATAAATCAAAGTTCTTTGCATTTATGCTAATATTTACTGCACGATTTGCTACAACATTTTCCAAGCTGTTTATTGACGTGCAAAGTATTCCTATCATTAATTTAAATGATAAATGCGCCACTAATCGTTTGTTTGATAAACAGCAATAAATTATAAACAACACTCAAAAAATTCCGAAAATCAATATAAATTTCTGTGCATGACCATCAAGAAGAAGAAATAATCATTCCAATAATGCTAAAAAACAAAACTCAAACACAGCCCACAAGTTTGAACATTTTACGGCACAGCGGGTCTGCAGCTCAAATAATATGAAATATTCCAAAGGTTCTGGGAAAACAACCAGAAAATGAGAATTTGCCTGGCAACAAAAACCGAATAGACTTCTTGCTTGGATATGCCAGACACGTGACCAGATCAGCCAAAATTTAATCGGAACCAAGCTCCCACAATTTGCAGACATAACAAAGTTTTTTTCTATGACGGCGTCATGAATTATTCAAAATCCAGGCAGACAGACCTTCATGGTAACCATTCGGATAAAGGAGGCGGAAAAGCTGCTTGGCAACAAAACCGAAGCGGCCGCTGACGTGGGAACGATCGCGGCATTGACTGAATGAAAATCGCCGTGTTGGCATATTTAAATTATCATATGAAAATTAATGCATGATATTAAAAACCTGTCAATTAATTGCTCACTCCCGAGCCACTTGACAGTCGCCACACACATGATCGGCTCCAACCACCTGCCCCTATCCCCTCCCCTTTCTGCCCAACTCCCCAGCTATGTGTGTT